TTTCCTTGCTCAGAAAAATAGATTCCTTTCAAAATATTAAAAGAAAAAAAAAAGAAAGTTTAAAAAGAGGGAATGACGAAAGTAGAGGCTGGAATGTCGCTGGCAGCGGGGTCTGTACACGAGATGGTGCGAGATGGGGCTGGGTGACGCCCCGCTCAGTAGCTCTCCTCCTCACAGTAGTAGTGGTACCCAGGGGGGTCCCCGCTCTGGTCGCCGGCAGCGTTGGCCACCTCGCCCTGGCTGCCCTGCGGGCAGTACTTGGGGTCGTAGATCTGGCGGCCCAAGCCGAAGACCTGGCCGCTCTGGTTGGCGCCCTGGTTGGAGCCCATCTGCAGTGACATGGAGGAGTTGTCGCACTTCTCCGTCCCCATCTTGGCATCGTAGATGTGTCTCCTGGTGCCGGGAGCCGTCATGCCCACCTGGAAGGACAGGACGGAGCAGGGCTCAGCCGTGGTTCCCCCCGTCCCTCCCCACCGCGGCCGCGGGGGCTCACCTGGCTGGCACACTTGTTGGTGCCCATCTGGAGGCTGATGGTGGAGTGGTCCATGGGCGGCAGGATCTGGTTCTTGGGGTCGTAGAGGTGCCTCCTGGTGCCGTAGGCCGTCATGCCGGACTGGCTGGCACACTTGTTCGTGCCCATCTGCCCAGGGGATCCGGTGAGACCGAGCGCTGCCCCGTGCGCGTCCCTTCTCCTCCCTCCCCGTCCCCCCGCAGCCCGGGGGCACAGCCAGCGCTCCCCAACCCAGCCCAGGCACAGCCTCTCCTGGACATCGACTGCCGGCATTCGGACACGGAGCCGAGGTGGTCCCAGATCCCGAGGACACTCAAGGCACCTTGAGCCTCGGGTCCCCCCAGCCGTGCTTGGAGCCACGACGGTGGGTGTTGAGGGTTTGATAAAACCGGGGCCCCCTCACCCGCCACCCCAGCCCTCGGGAGCACGCGCGGGGCCAGCCCACCTGCAGCCCGATCACGCACTGCCCAGCCTTCATCTTGGCCTCGTCGAAGTTCCTCTGCTGCTTCTCCGAGTACTTCACGCCAATGTCCACGCCGCTCTGCATCCCCTTCGTCTTGGCCTGCCGGGAGGGGCGGTGAGGAAGGACGGGGGTCCCAGACCTCCCACCCTCTCCCTGGGCAGGGGGAGCCGTGGGGTCCCATGGGCAGCACCCCGAGGGGGGGGCCCCCCCAGCCGCTCCCCGCGGGGCTGCGCCCCCTCCCAGGCCACTCGCCCCCGCGCACTCACCATGCCCGCCAGCGCCAGCAGCGACACCTGCACCTGCGTCAGGTTCCCGCTCTCAAAGAGGTCGTTGGCTTCAAAGAGGTCCACGGGGTTCATGCCGTAACTGGCCATGGCCTTGATGAAGTTGGAGAGGTTCTCGAGCTGGGGGCAGGGGGAGAGGGGTGAGACCCCGGTGGGGGATGGCGGAGGGGCCGGGGCAGAGCCGGGGCTCTGCGGCGGCCGGCTCGCAGGCAGGGCTGCCCGCACCTACCTGGTGCCAGTTCTGAGCCGAGCGGTTGATCTTCCTCACCGAGTTGGGCTGCAGCTTGTTCATGAGCCTGGAGGGAGGCAGGGGGGAGCGGGGGCTGCGGCGGGGCAGAGCCCCCGGCTGGCACCGGGGCACGGGCCCCTTTCGGGAAGGTCCAGCCCAGGTCTCTCCCACAAGCACGAGGCGATTCCCCCCCAGGTCCCTGCTGGCCCCCAGGGCTCCCCCCAGACACGGGCACTTTGGGGGTGACTCCAGCCAAGCAGCACCACAGAGAAAACCTCTGGCGGGTCCCACCGCTGTGGGCATGGCCAGATCCAGCCCGCCCTTCCCACCCCAAGGGCTTGGCGCGGGTCCCCCGGAGGGCAGGTCTCCCGCGGCCCCGTCCGAAGGGAGCAGGGGCCAGGGGGCTGTGCTCGGCATCGCCCGGCGAGCAGCGCGGGACTCACTCGCAGAGGATCACTCCGTCCTTCAGCCCCTTCTGGAAATCGGGCCCGATCTGCTGCCCCGTGACGCTCTCGATCCATGTCCGCAGCTCGGCCTCCTTCTGCGGATCGTACTTCTGGGCGAGCTGGGGGGGACGGCGAGGGGGCAGCTCAGGCACGGCCCCGGCGTGCACCCCAAACCCCTCACGGGGGACGGCTCCTCCACCCCGGGCACAGACCCGCAGCGAGGTCTGGGGGCAGCAGCCCAGTCCCGAACACCGTCCCCAGGAAGCGCTGGGGACACTGGCACCCCGTCCCCAGCCTCTGCAGGGTGGTGAGTGCGCCCCACAGCCTGGCTGCTGCCCCCAGCCCCAGAGAGCCGGGGGTGAGGTGGGCGCAGCGGGCGAGGTGGGCGCAGCGGGCAGCTTGGATGGCCCCAGGATATTTGTTCAGCCGCGATTTCATGGGGCACAGGACCCCCCCCCCGGGGCTGACAGGCAGCAAGAGCCATGGCTGGGAGTAAAGCCACAGCGTGACCCCACCACAGGGGAGGGCATCTCCCCCCACCTCCAGCCTCCCACATCCCCCTCCATCAGCTGGATTTAGCCCATCTGTACGTACAATCCGGGGAGCAAGAGCAGCCGGGCTGCCCCTGCCCGTGCCCCTGCCCATGCCCCTTGCGTGGGAATGGGGACGGGAGCATGAGCACGATGCTGCCGTCAGACACAAGCGTGGGCACGGCCAGGTCCGGCGCAAGCCCGCAGAGCACGGTGCCCTCACACACGGCAGCTTCTGAACCCTTCCAGGAGGATGAGGAGGAACTGCCCGCGGGGGCCGGGGGAAATGCCCCCCCCCAAGGGCCTGCTCCTCCCTGTCCCCTGGAGCCCGTGGGAGCCCGGCACCGAGCCCCGGGGGTCCCAGCCGAGCGATGCGATGCTCTCCCCTCCGGCGGGGCCGAATGCTGCCGCAGATTCCTCGGTCACCGCGGCTATGCCAGGAATGTGGCCGCCTCCTCCCAAATGGAGACCAGCTGCCCAGGCCGGCAGCATCACCGGCAGCATCGCCTCGGCCCTGGCCGGCCAGGGAAGGAAGAGGCACCCCGGCCCGGGGCGGGAAGGGGGCGGCTGCATGGGAAGAGCCCTGGAGCCCCGAGTGCCGTCGCTGCCCCAGCCCAGCCCCTCCTGTGCTCAGCCGGCACCCGGGGATGGCCGCAAGGCAGCCACCGACCTCTCACCCATCCCGTCCCCGTCCCCAGGGCTGTGAGCCCCGAGGGGTCCCGGCACGGGATGGGCACGGTCCAGCCCCGCTGCCCGGTGGGGAGACACCGGCCATGCCCACGGGCTGCGCCGGGCTGCGGCCCCACAGCCCCGGCCCCAAAGGGGGAGCTCGGCTGGTGCGGGATGCAGGGACGGCCCAGCCGAGCAGGGTCGGGCTCACGACACCACGCGCGTCCCGGCTGGGGGATCCCGCTCTCCCATCATCTGATTTTCTGGAGCGTGGGCAGCCCATGCCAGTTCCTCTTCCCAGCCCACGGCCAGCGCGGGGGTTTCTCAGGGCACAGGAGGGGACAGAGGGGACCCGATCCCACTACAGCCCAGTTTGCAAGAGCTTGCACGGACTGGGAAGCTGCCACTGGTTTAACTGGTTCCCAGTCGGTGATGTCAGCCTCCAGCAGACGCACCAGGGCAGTTAAACTGGCTTAAGTCTTGCTGAATCAAGCTGAAGCGCCCAAGAGCACGCAGCAGCGAGGCTCCAGCGCGTGTCCACCCGCTCAGTGCCGGTGAGCCCAGCCCAGATGCAAGCAGGGGCCCGTCTGCTCGGTGATGAAACGCCAATCCCCTGCGAGGCTGGGCAGGGAGAGCCCAGCCCCAGCCGCGGCCACGGTCGCCACATCCCCACAGCCACACGCGGCCGAGCCCTGGCAGCGGTGCAGGCAGCAGCCCTGCACCCCTTCTGCCTGCCCCATCCCCGTCCGGGCAGCTCCCGCGTCCTTGGGCAGGGTGCAGCCACACAGGGCCACCGGCCGACTGCCCCGGGGCCAGGGGTGACCATGGCTCAACCTCTGCTTGCCCGGGGCCAGGCACAGCCCAGCACCGCAGCCGCTGCCTGTGCCACTGCCCGGGGTGGCAGCGGTCCCTGGAGCAGGGAGCACGGCCGAGGAAGGGGTTGCTGTGTCCCCCCGCTCCCCCGGCCCGGCAGCACCCCTGGGCCCCCGCCGCCGCAGCAGCCAGCGCTGCTCACCAGCACCCCAGCCCCGTCCTCAGCGTTGGGTCAAGGGGAGAGTTC